GTTTTAAAACCTTAGGCCCAAAACAGATGGGCCAAATAATGCAGTTTCCAGTCATTTGGGGGGATGTGACATTTAGACAACAACCCCTCCAAGTGGCCAGAAGCTTTGCCAAGGGTGTGTGGAGATAGCAAAAATCTTTTCAGGAGCAGTGCAGTCAACGTGGTCCCAGGCCTTTTGACTGTCTGCTTCACAACTTGCACACCCTTCAGACAATGCAGTGTTTTTGTCTTATGCTTTCATAAACTCTAAATAGGTTTCTTTCTTTATACAAGATGGATAGGGCCATTCTTCTCATTCTTTTGAAACAGAAAGAGTCAGTTTCTAAAGCCTGGAGTGCAGAAGAACATGAAAGAAGGAACAATTGTGAGAAAAACAGGTCACTCTATCTGGAGCTATGGTGTTTTTTATCTGTGTCATATCATGATCCATTGAGTGGTGCACCAAGACAATGATCACTTTGGATCCCACCTAGGACTGAGTGCATGAGTGCTCCAATGACTTGGAAGAAGGGGCCTTCGCTTGCATGGCCTGCTGCCAATGTTTTTAAGGGAACAAATGGAGGAGCCTCTGTCATACATATTGGTCTTTTACCAGGGGTAATAACCTCAGTTTGTTGAAGAGTAAGGCCTTGATTATTCAGACCATTTGGTATATGAGGATCATACACTCCAAATGGCCTGAGGTTTCCCTAATGTGGTCTGCCACTTTGCCCTGAGAGATATGGTGGGGAGAAGGAAAGCCAAATGCATTGATAAGAGCCCAGAGAAGGGTGACTAGGGAAATTTGAAATGCTTTAATGAAAGTGTTGGACCACCTTCTGCCACATTCCCAGGTCATTTTTCAGAAGCTTGAGCTCTACAAAGGTGATGGCATTAACTTATCAAAGACAGGTAATTTGTCATTCCTGGGGGATTGCAAGAGGGAATGGGGACCCTTTTGGGCACAGTAGGATAGAGGCTATGCAGACACTTGCCCCTTATCTGTTGCAGGTAGTGGGTGGGGAGATGTAGCATTTGGGGGAACATCTATGGCACAGTTTTCATGAAGGGGGGCTCTGGAAGCACTTCCTTAGGTCATGCAAATGGGGGAGAGGGAAAGAAGACATTCTTTGGGGCTGGCCTTGGGATGATCACTCACTTTAAGTCATGTGACTTGGAGAGATGGGCCAGTAGTGGGCTGGCTTCTAGGTTCTCCTTGGGGCTCAGATGTTTCACCTGGGGAAATTGGGGGCAGGTCTGGGAAAAGCCACCTGCCTCAGCTGCTCTCAAACTAGGTTGCTGCTTCCCTTTTGCATCTCCCAGGGGTTGAACGTTAAATAGCTAATAGTGTAAAATAAAGCAGCCCTTAGACAACCCAATCTTTGCTGTCTAATCTCTTTATTTCCATGGTGGATCAGAAATCATTAAAACATATTATCTCCTAGTGTGGCTATGCTTGTCAGCATATGTTAGCTAAAATACATCCTTATATAAAAGATTTATTCTGGGTTCTGTGGAGTACTTTTAGCCATGTTTTGTATTGAAACCTTACATCACTATAGTGCTTAATGCAGTGTTATGTGCTATTACATCAAGACAATAATGCAGCTTTTCTATGACACAGGAAAAGATACTGCACTCTAGAGATATCCACAAGACAAAAGTTGTTTATTCGATCTACTATCCTATTCTGTTTTATAGCTTTATCATATTTTTGTCTGTACAAAAAAAAAAATCTACTTCCTTCCTTCCTTCACAAACTGCCCCCTAATAGTTTGTTCAGATGTTCCTTTTCTTTTAATAACATTGCTCTTTGTTTTAAGTTAAAGTTGTTAGTGAAATTGAAATTTATTCCCCTCTTTTATTGCTCTTTCTCCATAGTTTCCACATGGTCAGAAAGGAAATGGCCTTTGCTTGCATTGGGATTCCTCCAGACCAGGGGTAGGCAACCTAAGGCCCGGGGGCCGGATGCGGCCCCAAGAGGCCTTTGGACCGGCCCCAGGCTAGTCCTGCCGCCGCCGCCGCCGCCGTCCCTCTGCCTGCCATGATGATATTGATTATTATTGTTATTACTTGTTCTTGGGGTTTTCTTGGCAAAATCTCCACAGGGGTTTTTGCCATGGCTTTTCTGTGGCTGAGAGAGTATATATTTTTAATTTTTTTTAAAAAATTGTTTTTATTTTTATTTATTTATTTATTATTTTTGGTGCTTTGGCCCCCCAATTGTCTGAGGGACAGCAGCCCGGCCCCCGGCTCAAAAAGGTTGCCTACCCCTGCTCCAGACCATTTAAACTGACAACAGAAATAACATCTGAGACAAAATCTGGGCCTATGACTCTCACAAGATTTTTAACATCTTTGCCTGATAAAGTAGCCAATGAAGCTTCAAAAGCTTGCACAGTGATTCCGGAACTTCAGTTCTCCAGATGTTTTGGATTTCAGTTCCCAGAAGCCCCAGCCAGTTTGACCAACAATCAGGAATTTTGGGAGCTAAAGTTCAAAACTTCTGGAAGACCAAAGTTTGGGAACCACTGGTGTGTGGTGTATTTCTTAGTACTTTAGTTGTCTCAATAAAGATATCAATTTTTGCTGCATGGCCAACATGGCTACTGCTGAATATGTTCAATGGGGATTATAAACTGCAGATTAGTGATTCTGTACTGGTCTATACCAGAAAGGTAAATATAGCCTGAAGAACAATATTTGTACTCAACAGATTCCAAGATGTATACCCCAAAAATTGAGCTGGCCACTCATTTCTATAATCAGAAATCTCATCACTAAAAAAGAGGTTTAAAAAAGAATGTTGGTTTCCATAGGTTACCGTATATACTTTACTATAAATCGACCTCATTTGTAGTGGAGGGCAGGTTTGGGAGCCAAAATTATGGATCTTGATATGACCCATGGATAAGTCAACTCAGGTTTTGGGGGGCAGTTTTTGACTTATACATGAGTATATACAGTAGTTAGATGTAACTTTGGTTATTTCTGTAAATAGAACTCAGGATGCCTGTACACATTTCTTTTCATGTGTATACTGAGCTCAGGACCCCCTGTAATGAAAATTGTACTTGAACTGGCAGTTTTGCCCAAAGAAAATGTGTTGATTGTCAATTTTGCAATCAGAAACTCCCTAATTCAAAGGAAACACAAATAATATATTCTGTTCCTATTCAGCCAACCCATACTCTTCCTTTTCACTACTGATATAGCAGAATCTGTCCTTTGGTAAGGAATGTAGATGCTGAGCAGCAATAAGACACATTTTGTGTAACAAAGTCAATTGCTGGCCCACCAATTTACCTGATCTCAAGTAAAAAAACAGAATTCTAAGAAGGAACGTGCAGCCTCTCCATCCATTTTAGTAATATGCTTAGACGTTTTCAGAAGTTAAAAAAAATGTTGGGGAGTTAAAGCAATAGAGGTACTTTCACTGGAGGCAGGTGCTTTACTTTGCAATTGGAACAGTTGCCCCTCCCTCCTGCATCCTTCCCTGCAACCTAAAACCTACATTGGAGCACAGCATTGGATTTAGTCCTTAATATTTGACTGCTTTAACACAGTTTATTCTCTATGCATGGTTTCATGTTTGCCAAGGGAACGTATTGGACATGAGCCAGAAATGGAGTGAACATAAGAACAGAAAGCAAAAGCTGAACGTACTACACTTTTAAAAAAAATGTATTTGAAGCACATATTTGGCTGCTGAGAGGTATCTTTTTCAGCTCTAGCCTAGCTTCTGTATTTTGCTGAAAACCAAATGGATTTCAAAACATATTCTACTAGGCATTGTTTAGAAAGGATGGAGATTATTTTCATGAAAAGAAATGTGTGCAAATAACAGCTAAGATTGTCCAGAATGGAAAAAAGTTAAATGATAAGCCAGAAAATTATACTTGGGTCTGCCAGAAGGTAATATCCACATTCATGTTATCGTCACATGCACAGTATGTGCTAAAACATTTAATTTTTTTTTAGTGGTACCCCACATTTGCAGAATAAATTATTGAAACTCAAAATATATGCCATTTTTACCAAGGGATGCATTTTAGCCAATGAATTTGTAGTGTTCCTCTGTTTCCAGATAAATGGGCCATGAAGCTACGTAAGACTGCTTGGCCCCTTCTTTATAAATTAACTTATTTGATGTGTTTGATGAAACTAGTGCATGCAAAACTGCTTACGTCACAGAAACAGCCTATTTCAGTTCTTGCATGTGTTTTCATTTCCCTGTTTCTGTCCAAAATAAGGTGTCAAGAATATATTTCACTGGATGTATTTGTTAATCTTTGGCTTTGATCTTCAGTATTTTATTAGGGGCACTTTTAACTTTAAATCTCAGGTTCAGAAGAATATGTCCTAAAAAAAAAATACAAGTATAAAATCTTCAAATTCACCATAAGAAATTTTTTTTTAGTGGTTTAATATAACATACATGGGCAATTAGATACCACCAGGGGTCACAATCCCTTCTCATATCACCACAGAAATTCAGTGACATGGTATCAACTGTGAAATTAAGGTGCTTTCTCAGTTAAAGCAAGGCACACAAAGAGCAAGGACCACATTGTACAGGAGAATGTCACATTTGGGAGGACCTGGGTAGCAGGGTTATCCTTTAAAAGAAAGTGCAGACTCCCCATGCTGCTTATTCGAAACCCAAAATAGTCTTTATTTTGCCATGTTGCTACTGAGATTCATGATGGCAAGAGTGTAGGGTCTCAGAAGTATTCCTGGAACCTACATGTATAAGCCACATATTGCCACCCCTATATTATAGCCACCTGGAGTAAAATTGCCAATTCTCTCTATTCCAGGTCTTTCTTCTGCTTCCCAAATGGGAAATAGAGGGTGCCTGGGATACCTGAAGAATTAAAACTGAACTGATTTGCTCCGAAGGGACATTTTCTATGATGTAACTGGCAGACACAGGGGGCTAGATTTGAATTCAGATTACAGTAGTATAAACATTTGTTTAAGTGACTGGCACAAGTTAAAAGACAAATAAATAAAATAAGAACCAGGGTGTTATAGTGGTTTGAATGTTGGACTAGAACTCCAAGAAACCAAGGTTTGAGTCCTCGCTCAGTCAGGGAAAACCATTGGGTGACTTTCCCTCTCAGCCTCAGAAGAAGCAATGTCAGATTTTGACTAAATCTAGCCAGGAAAGCTCTATGAAAAGGTCTCCATGTGTTTGAGTCAAATTGGAGGCTATAATAACAACAAATACTTAGCAAGAGAAGTGAAGAATATAAACACAATTATAGGCAATTGTTTATACTGCCATCAAATCAAGAGCCAGCATGGCACAGTTATTTGAGTGTTGGACTGCAAGTCTGGAGAACAGAATTCGATTCCCTACTTGGCCATGAAACCCACTGGGTGACCTTGGGCAAATCACATGCTCTTGGCCTTAGCGGAATGCAATGGCAAACCTCCTTCGAACAAATCTTACCAAGAAAACCCTATCATAAGTTCGCCTTTGGGTCACCATAAGTTGGAAACAACTTGGAGGCACACAGCAACAAGCCATCAAGTCTACTTAAGCTTATAGTGACCCTATGAAAGAGAGACTTGGGGGGGGGGGGGTTGCAGACTGCCAGAAATAGTGCAAATTGAGTCCACGGTTAGGGTTAGGGTTAGGGTTAGGGTTAGGGTTAGGGTTAGGGTTAGGGTTAGTGCTAGGGAATCATGGGAATTGTTGTTTTTTTCTGAGACATTGAGCCTTCTCTGTCAGAGAGCTCTGGAGCCACAATAAAATACAGTTCCCATGATTGCCTACCACTAGCCCTAACCATAAAAGTGGACTCAATTTGCACTATTTCTGGCAGTCTGCAACCCCCCTTTGTTATTAACAGCACAGTTCAGCTACAGGAAAATCATGTCCATGTCTTTCTTTTTTCCATCAATCTGTCTATAATGCTGCATTCCTCTTTTTCTACTGCCCTTAACTTTTCTCAGCATTATTTTCTTTTCCAGTGAATCATATTTCCAAAATAGGATAGCCTCAGTTTAGTCAGTTTAGCTTTAGTGAGAGCAGGCTTCTTTTGCTTAAGGACCCATTTATTTATTTTTTGAGTGATCCATTGTATCTCTAAAACTCTTCTCCAATACTACATTTCAAATGAGTTGATTTCCCCCCCCCCC